GCTTAGAGAGGGCTGAAAGCCCTATGAAGCGGTATATAAGTCTAACTGCTATTGCTATTGTTCTTCTCCTGGGCCTGGGACAATACACAGTGCTTACTATCTGTTAGTAAATATCCATCTCTGTTTAGAGATCCTTGGCTTATTCAAAATGTTCATTTCCTTGCCAGGTGTGAGTGACCAGGACTGGGCCCAACCATTTAAACCCCAAAGGCAAAACATTTGGACTGTAGCTTTCACTGTCATCAGACTTTTGCTTATCTCCATTTTAAGAACTTGCAGAGCAGAATTTCATTCATTTGCCCAGAACACTGAAACATGTGGATCAGCTCTCTTGATTGGGACAGAGAATACTGGTTGGTTGCAACCTCATCTGACTTTCATATAAAGATGTCTCTGGGCCTGACTTGGAAAATCCCTTCATAAAGATAATGTTTTTCTTGATGGTACAACCACCAGTGGCTTTGAAGGGGAGGAGTGCAAAATTATGTGCTAATGAGGAAAAAAAAAATCAACAGCAAAGGAGTAAGCAAATTTATGGCCCGTTAAAAAAAATATGGAAGTATTGAGAGCACACCTTGGTTACCTTTACAAAATGGTTGCTGGAGATAGCATTGCCTGCTCACAAAATGGCCGTCATTATGAATGCAGTCAACTACAAATCATCAATTAATCCAAAAGCAAACAATTGCAAAATTGTTCTCCTTTAACCTCAAGGATGCTTTTTAACCCCTACTTTTTTCTCCTTTTCTTGAGCAATAAAGTAAATAAAAATAAATAAAATAAATAAAAATAAATAAATATAGAGTGAAATCACATTCCCCTCATTTTATACTTCCTGTCATGTCTATGTGAGGTCCTGAGGAATTCTTGCCAATAAAGTTGCCCGTCTTTTGCTTTGCAGATACCATATTGCTATATCATTATTTTGATCCATTTTTAAAATGTCAGGTTGGGTCCCAGATGTGCAGCTGCCAAGGGGAACCCTTTTGCCTCTCTCTGCTCTAAGAAAGAACACGAAAAGANGGTGGTATTTAGCGGTTCTCCGAACTACTCAAAATTTCCGCTACCGGTTCTCCAGAACTGGTTAGAACCTGCTGAATACCACCTCTGCTTAAAAGTGGCCAAGGTTGGACACCTCTTGTTTTAACGGGTTTGATTTCAGTGAATCTCATACCATCGGAAAGCCAACCATTATTTCTCATTAAGGGCAAACAGATTTCAGACACTTTGATCAAAATTCTAGTAATTCAAGCAATATTAAAACAAAATCTGTTTACCTCTGCAGGCTGCTTTGAGGGTGGAATGGATGGCAAGGGCTTCTTCAGTTCTTCACATTTTCTCTTTTTACATATCCGGTGGCTAGTTTTGCGTTTCCTACAGCAGCTACACTCTTCACAGTTAGTTTTCCGCAGACAAGGCTCACAAACTCCACAGCGCCTTCTTTTTTTCTTTTCCACCACAGGTTGCAAAGACGCAAGGCACCCACCAGTTGGAGATTCAAAAGATGGGGGCTCGGATGCCCCCACTGTGTTGGGGTCACATTTCCTGGGGTCCTGGGGACAGAGTGTGATTTTTCCATCTCTTCCCAGCTGTAACAAGGGATCGGATTGCCTTGAAATAGACTTGTCAGACGGCACCGTCCTTGGCTCTTTCCCCTCTCCTGCACCCAAGGGCAGCCTTGCATTAGGGGACTGTGAAAAAACTTCATTAGACGCTTCCCTGCTGACTGGGCTAGTGGTGTTTCTATCTGGATTAAAGGGTGCAGAGGCTGGATCTGAACTGAATGTTTCTGCAGCAATCCGTTCCAGAGTCCGTTCCAGGTCATCCAAGGTGAAATTACTCAAAGAAATGCTAGAAATCTGTTCACAGACGGACTGTTCGTTTGGTTGCTGGTAGCTATAGCAGGGAGAAGAATCAAGTGTTTGGTTGCTTGGCACCAGCGTCAGATCCACTGGTATAGCGGCGTCTCCTGCAAGGTCTGGTTCTTTTAAGCATCCTTCTGATCCACAGGCACACTGCAAATACTTCTCTTCTGCAAAAGGAGGCTCAGCATCTGGTTTGTTCAGGGGTTCCGGCAGAGCACACGGGTCATCCAGATGCAATTTTGAGATCAGTTCAGAGGTAATCAAAACGGCAGCATCGGAGTCATAGGGATGTAGCACCATATCGTGTCCAGTTTTGGAATGAGATTCCAGAGAAGTCTCTGGACTTTTATTCTGCAATGTCAGGTCTTGATCTGAGGAAAGGCTCAACATGGAAAAGGAATGTGAACAGAAATGTTCTGGGGGGACAGGAGGTAAATTCAGGTTACTCGTCACATATGGTTCTACGGACGTCCCCAATTCATCTTCCTGTACCCTTAAAGTAGTGTCAAAGTCAAGGTGTAATTGGTGGATTAGAGGCTCAGACAAAATTTCATTTGAGGTATTAGTAAACAAATCTTCTAGGGCCTGCTCACGGGAAACAAATTCTTCACATCTGTGTTCTTCTTCAAGTATTCCTGAATTACAAGTATCGGTCACACCATTATTAGAAAAAGAAATTTTTGAGGGGTGCATTATCCCTCTTTTTTTGGCTTGATTATCATCTACAGAGGACCAGCCTGCTTCCTGAGAACATGGGGCCTTGTCTCCTTTGGGAGAAGGTAATTCACTATTCAAGTTTAAATCTCGTGCAAAAGCTCTTGTAGTCTGTTCAACGTCTTTCCTTTCTAGTGCAGAGGAAATTCCTGATCTGGCTTTCTGTTTTTTTCTTGGGCCACTCTTTTTGGCTTTTGAGATTGTCGATGCTTGAAACAGCCTATGGGAAAACGGTTTCCTGCGAAGAGTCATGGAAAATCCACCGCAGCTCAAAGGAGGCTGGTTGTGGAAGATAACATTATCCGTTAATTCCAGGTTCATCCAAGAAGTTCCAGAAAAGGCTTTGGTTACACTGCTCCGGAGAAATCGGCATGGCGAACTTAATGGAGGTTTACGTCTTTGGGATTTTTTCTTGCCATCGTTCTGGTCTTCTATTAATTTTCTACAGCCTGTAGGACACTCTTTCTTTGAGGACTCTTTCTTGGCATCTTTTATTCCTTGACAAGATTTCTTTTTAACAGGACTCGGTTTCTTTTTGCTTATCTCCTCTTTTTTAATTAATCGTGAAGATCTGGCATCCCGGGCCATTTCTATCAAACTCTAGATGTGTCACTGGAATTAAGAGTTCATGGAGTCTTGCAAACGTTCCTCATTTCAGGAGAAGCCTGCACATTTGTCAGGACATTCTCTGTGTAGTACAGAGCTGAAATAGAAAGAAAGAACAATAAAAGTATTGGGAAGAATTTTAGGTTTCAAGTAAAAGCTTTAGAACATTCATGTCACTTTTTATAATCTCTGTAGCTTTAACATCGAATTTGCAAGATGCATCAAAAGCTGCACAGGCTAAGAATTAAGAGGAAAAGTGATATAGCTAGCAGCTTGCTTAAGGCACTGAAGGGGTGGGGGGAATGGAGTAAAACAATCCTGTTCATAGTTCCAATTTGTTTAGCTCTATGCTATGGAATAATATTAAAAGTATAGCACATGTTTTTTGGCAGCAAAGTCTGGGTGAAATAGATTTTCTTTCATCTGAAGGTAGTGCTTTATTTTTTTTTATAGTATTGTATATAATGCTTTACTTTTTGAAGGCTTGTATTTCCCCCAAGTCTTAAAGTATTGCTGGAGGACAAACAAAACAGAAGGTTGAAGGGTACTGAATCCACTGAACACCAATATAAATGGAAAAGCAAAGCTTCCTCCCCCACTTTAAACTGACAAGCACTGAACAATGAAGCAAACATGAAGAGTTGCGACATCCCCTTTCTCTTAAGATTTTCAAAGCAGTCTTGGCAAGTTTTAGAGATAAGTAATTGGAAGCCCCAAAACCTTTTGAAATAGGAAGCACTGCTAACTTCTACACCCACATGCTTTGCTTAATGGCATACCCACTATTTATTTTCCCCTACTATGCCAAGAGGGCAGTGCAGAAGATCTGCAGAATTTACAGAAATGGGTATCCAAAGGTAGCTCCTTGCCAAAGGAGATTTTCTATCTCTTCACTATCTCTATCGAAGAGCCGAGGTGGCGCAGTGGTTAGGGTGCAGTACTGCAGGCCACTTCAGCTGTTATCTGCAGTTCAGTGGTTCTAACCTCACCAGCT